GCGCATAGAAGCTCCCTAGGATGTCCATAACACCATCCGTGTGCATACTTGGCAGCTCTTCGAGTAGATCAAGCCGTTGTCGTGAACCTAGAGTTCTTCTTCGCAGTCGAGCCGTTCCAACCGAAGCTGCTGTTGTCCAAGCCTCGACGATCCCTTCCAATAACTTGGTGAGCCTCCTGGACAAGCGCGGCAGCGGGCGGTAGAGGGGGTAGGCGGCGGGTGGGACGGCAGTCGGCAGAGCAGCAACGGCGTCCCGTCGGCGTTGTCCTTCATCGCCGCTTCCGAGGACCGCCACGATTGACAGCGAGGGAGCACGACGAGGAGGCCTAGGAGCACGGGCCGGAGCAAGCATGGCAGGGTGGAGCAGCGCTCGCGGCAGGCAGCGCGAGAGTGACACCGCTGAAGAAGAGAAGAGAAGAAAAGAGAGAAGTAAGAAAAGAGAAGAGAAGAGAAGCAGGAAGAAGAACAATGTCTAGGGGCATGTGTTTCGGAAGAAGAGAAGAGAAGCATGAAGAAGAGAAGAGAAGAACGTGGAGCTTTAGATTTGAACTTTATTAACGATGCATGTGTTTCGGATGACCTCCTTGGGTCATTATGGAAGAAAATAAATAAGCATACATATAGGGGTTGTCACGACCCAAATATTTTTTTTCCGTGACAGTCTGTCGTATCCTTATACGCATATATACAAAGCAAGATGCAGTGTCTAACCATCAAAACTGGAGCTTGGACACCTACAACAGTGGTTCCATTTATTATTATTACTTTTTTTTTCACCAGATACATTGCATATTACATCGGTTGATTCACTGACGAACTTATTATTACCAGGACGATACCCTATACTTAGCATGCAAGTATGACCTCTGGATGCCTCTAAAGACTAAGTAGACCACACTCTCCACTAGGTTTGCATGTCACCATTTCCCTCTGGCATCTCATCTTAAATAGTTTCTATGCACATCAAATAATAATAATAATATATGAATATGTTATACATACTCAGCAAGATTAGTACATATAGCTATATATATATTTTTTAAAGACAAAAGAAAATACTACTACCCATAGATATTAACGGCCAATAAATAATAAAGGACATTAACCATAGTAAATGAGTTAAATCCACACTGCAGAGGTATTAACATAATCGTCGTAATCTTGTTCCTTCAACCCATTTTTCTCTCCAACTAGTGATACCCTCATCTGATAATCACGCCGCCGGATTCCCTACTTGTGTGAGGCATTCCTCATCTCACACTGATATCAGCCACCCGATATCGTTATCTCAGGCTAAGTATCATAATCACATTATTATTCTCACTGATTGTTCGACGAAATTTTGTGCGCTTTTTTTATAAATTAATTATAAAAATGAATTGTGCGGAGTACTGTAGTTGAGAACTAATGGGCAAGTCACGCGCAAGGAAATACTTGGTTGTTTGCCTGTGATTTACTTTCATGTGTGCATTCCATGATTATTTAAAGAAGGGGAATTAGTACCTAGTCATAGCTAATTGCCGATAAGCACACACATGCAGCAAATCATCAGTACTTAGCTATTCACCGGACCTGCCAGAAGTGCCATTTATCTAGCCGGGCCCACAAATCTGCTAGATGTGGACATGATCGCTCCTGATCAATATAACAACATGGAAATACATATGATCATATCTCCTCTTGATGGTATAATTTCAGGATATATCATTTTAATGGAAATACATCATTCACAGTATCACGGTTAGATGAAAAATAGCACATCCATTTCCTACTTTAATCAACAGGAAGCTTCCTGAAGAACACAAGTATAGAAGTGAGACAACTAAATGGCAAGTTATAATCTCCGCATTCAGCATTTTTTTGGTAAAGCCATGCACGGGCATGCATATGCACCGACCTGCAGCTGCTATAAAAGGCCAAGCAAATTCACAAGGAGAAAAACAGACAGAGGCAGCAGAGAGAGGACACAGAGAGGCAGGCAGCCGAGAGAGCCTGCAAGCTCACACCGTCGCCACTGCCGTCGCGGCCTTCAGGCGCTGCGCTGCGCTGAGTGCCTCGGCGGGAACGTGCGTGTTCTGCGGCCGGCGACATCGGCTGCCGTACCTCGGCGTCCGGCGAGGAGGCACGTGTGCTGAGGAAGCGCGCTAAGGAGGAGACGATCACCAGGGAGACGATGCCGCTCCAGTTCACTGCCATGGGTAACTAGCCTATTATCTTTTCATCCCTTTGCTCCATTTCAGTGCATGCATGCCGGGACGATGCTCCTCAGCAGAGAAGATGTCGGATGCACCGCCATCGCCAGAGTTGCCAGGCCAACCGATCCGTTGACGTCATCCGCAAGTCTCCATCAAGGTTGAGACGATGTTTCTGCATGGTGCGGCGATGTCGCCGGGATGCTTGGACGTCGTCGCCTTGCCGGTCGTGGCCTCTTCTCCGCAACGCCGTCGACGTCCGCTCGCCCTCATCAACGCAGCTATCTTCTTCACACTCATTGCCTTGCTGCTTGAAGAGAACGCCGGCCGGAGCACCACTACTCGGTGCACGCAAGGCGTCATTACCTCCGGCTGCGTCATGAACTATCTTGTTGGAGTGGCCGTGGTCCCGTGGACGCCGCTGAGCCGCCCAAATCCATAGACGACGAGGCATTGCCAACTAACGTTCGTCTCCGTCACCGTCCGTTGCCCACCGGAGAAGGCCATTATATTCTCAGGTCGCCAAGGTGCTGGTTGCCGATATCCGGAGACCGGAGGTCACTAACATGTCATCCACAAGCCGCGATGGTATCGTCAGACCCTGTTGCCGGCACCTGTCATGATGCAGCCTTGCTGGGCAGGGATGTCCCACTGAGACTACTAATCGGCGACGCCCTCAGTCCCCCACGCTCGTCGTAGCCTCTGCGGGTCGCCGCCGACGTCTACTAAGTCATCCTCGCCAGTGCTATGATCTTCCTCACGTTACAATTGTCGAGCCGCCCGAGGAGAACGCTGGAGCACCATTGCTTGGTGCCCGCACGTCGTAACCGAGTCCAGCCATGATCCCTTCGCTTCAGCCGGCCGAGGTCGTCGTGCCATCCATCCACGACGCTTTCGCTTCGGCACGTCGGGATCATCCTCATACCAAGAGCTACAGTGTCATGCTCGCCGGCCTTGACCGCTTGATGACAAAATCCTTATATGTACACCGTCATCGATGATGATTGTCGACTCGCCACTGTCGCCAGTCATACTCTCAGACCCGCACCGCCAGGGCGTCTTCATGACTGCCATCGACGCCGGTGATGTGATCTCGTCCACAAACCAGAAGTATCCTCGTCTTTCATCGATCATTGGCATACATTTATCCTCGTGGCTGTCACCAATGGCAAACCTGTTCGGCTGTTCCTGGTGATCATCGCCCGTGCAGATTGTTTCTCTGCCAATGACAAGCACGGCCTTGTCGTCGTTGCCGACGCCAATCATGCATTCATCGTCAACGTGCAAATTTGGAGCCGCTAGCTGTTAATAAACGAGCTCGGCATCCCCACTGGTGTCTCTGTCACTCTGCAGCGCCCATACACATGACGGCTTCTTCATGGCCGCCATATGCTCACTCCCGACTCAAGCCATTACGATCGGAGGTGGCTCAACATCATTTGAGTTTGGCCCCGATTGTCGGCTCATATAAAATAGGGCCACCGACACCTGGAGTGTTATCCATCGCTCCCAGGTTTCGCTACGCCCCTAACATCCCCTACAGCCACTTGATACTAAGTGTGTGCTGCAGCGATCAGAAGGCTAACTCCTGTGCCATGATGATGGTCAACCGGTGTCGTGGAGACTAGATGGGTGATGCTACCCCAACCGCCAGTGACCACAAGCTTGGAATCTCCACCGGTGTCTCTATTGCTCCTAGCGATATCAATACATATACGGATGACTTCTTCGTGACCACCATCGGCATATATACTCTCAAGCTCGACGCCACCACCGATGTCATTCATGCTTTCGCTGATGACCTCTTCATGGCTACCATGAACATACTCGAGCTCGGCACCACTACCAGCACCGTGATCTTATTCTCACCCCAGCCAATGCCATGCTAGTTCCCACTACAAGCACCATCTTCACCTCCACCGACGAGGCTAAATGGCAGGGCGGGCAGAGTCGACATCAAGACGACATCACCAACACCGGCGTGCGGACTGACGAGGCCGCGAACACTGCCGGCACCCACTCACACACATCTATACCATCATCACCATCATGCATGGGAGGACGTGAAGCGAAGACGGACGACGATGACCAGCGTACCTTAATCGGAGGTATCTCACGGGTTTCACCCACGAGAGTAATTAACCGGGTGTCTTCCGAGACCCCGGGAACCAGGAGATCACAATCGCCAAGTCAGATCCACCTTGCCTATGGGCCGTGGAGCGTATTTGTCCAAGGATTTTGTATTTTTTAATTCTTCGAGAATTATAATAAAATGCATTTTTCTTCGTCCATTTTATTTTTGTGTACTTAGTACACTGGCATGCCCGCACATCTTATTTCCCTGGGTGGGGAGATTCTAGTTAAAATTCTCTCCAAACACTGATAAAATCATCAATCCATTATTCGGTGTTCATAATACTTTCTGTTAGATTATTAGTATCACCATTTCAATAATAATGGTAAACAAATTTAGTCAAAGTTAAATAGTTGATGGGCGCAATCTTGCCTTGTCTTCTGTTGTTCTTCCTCTACATCTACATCTCTCGGGATTTTAGTTATCCCGTGAATGCTAGGAGCAACGGAATCCCGTGGGGTAGCAGCCCTCTAAACCCACAATTACTTTTTTTCCCCTTCTTTCGTTTTATTTAGTTTACTAATTCTATTTGCGGGCCAAACAAGCCGCCTCTGGACCATGGGCCGATTCGTGCTCGGGCCGGCCTGTGTACGTGAGGCTGGCACGGCACAGCCCGCCACCGGGCCGTGTCGGGTCGGGCCGGGCGGCCCATTTTGCCAGCTCTCCCCAAACCCCACCATGGTGAGCAGCAAACGATCTCTCCTCCTTCCCTAGTCCAGACTCCCGACGCGACCAAGCGCCGCCGTCGCCGACGCTTCCCCGCCGTCGGAGATGGACTTCCAGGTCGTCGTCCTCGCCGGGGGCACCTCCGAGAAGCTCTCGCCCCTCGTCTCCAAGGTCCTCTCCTCCCCACCGCCGTCTTTTAACTCCGGCGCCCTAACTGTGACCCTCTTCCTCTTCTCCCGCAGGATGTCCCCAAGGCGCTCCTCCCCGTCGCCAACCGCCCCGTGCTCTCCTACGTGCTCGACCTCCTCGAGGCCAGCGACCTCAAGGACATCATCGTGGTGAGCGCGCGAGCTCGCGTGTTTCTGCTTGGACGCGGCTTGAAAAATGGTGGGGGGATTGTGGCTGATGCGGGTGTTTCGCACGGTGCAGGTGGTGGAGGGGCAGGAGGCCGCGCGACTCGTCGGAGCTTGGGCCTCGAGCGCCTACCTAGACCGCCTTCTCGTGGAGGTGAGCTCGAAGCCTAATTTGGCTTTCGATTGATTGAAGTATGATAGACCCTAGGTGTTTCCCTTTGCTGTCAGAATCAGCTGAATTTATATTCATGTTTCTTTCTTTGTTAGATGTCATGGGTATCTATGGGCTAACTTTTGCATAGTTTGCAAAAGAATTTCTCTTGTGGAGATATCATTGAATCATTTTGTTCAGGTTGCTGTATTGTATGGATGAACTCCTTTTAATTTTCGTGTATGATGGAGTTTTTTTCACGGAGATAGTCTCGTGGTGCCGTGCATATTATACAGTTGTGTGCTTGCTTATCTGGGTTCTCAAGGTAATGATATTAAGAAGGTTTGAATGCTAAAGGAGTTATGGTATATGAAGCAGCATGATATGGTCAGCTTCAGAAAGCATGATATAATCAAGTTTCCTAGTTCTAAGGCTGTTATGATTATTTTTTAGTGAAAATTGGTTGGCTAGGTGTATTTATTGTGAAATCAGTCAAAGGGCCTGTTTGGGGGAGCTTTAGATTCTGAGAAGCAGCTGTTTGGTAGCCAGCTTCTAAAAATATGGAAAAGCTTTGAAACCCAGCTTCTCCAGCTTCTGGCTTCTTAGTTCATTTTTCAGAATCTGTAACTACAGATTCTCAGAAGCTGTGGACTGTTTGGGGCAGCTTCTACCAGAAGCAGCTTTTGGGAAAAGCTGCAGCTGGGACAAGCTCCCCCAAACAGGGCCAAAAAGGCTGTGTACCTATTCGTCTAAATTAATTGAAATGCTGCCCCTCTATGTTCAGTGTCTGTCCAATCTATTACGAGCTGGCCTTTTGTTTTGGAACCAAAGGAAAACCCCAGTGGCAGATTTGTATTGCGAAAGAATGAAGCCAGTGTCTACTGACTACAGTTGGCGTTTTACATCCCAGATAAAGCTTATTTATTAGGGCATGCGCAATGTATCTTACCCAACTAGTAAATAAGATGGGCCCCATGACCAGGAGGTAGTAAGCTGCAACTCTTCTCACAATGCTTATATGAGTGTAGTGGTAAACAAGGTGGGGTCCACCTGAAAAAATCCATCCATCCCAACCCTCCATTACCTGGATCCTGTCAGAATCTTCATATTTTATTTGGTTGTTGCCGGCAATAGCACAAATACCAGGTAGTAACTACTACCTCTTCCCACAATGCTTACTATTGGGTAGTAGGCTTGAAATAAATGCTTGTTACCTGGTTTTTTGCCACATTGTGGTTGCTCTTAGGAATTTCCACTATTCTGCATTTCCCTTTGAACATAAGATCTACATTGTAGTTATTGCAATCTCCAATCCCGCCCTGTCCTTTTAAGTTTGGGGCATTTGTAAATTTGCCACCGGTTTTTTCAATATTGCAAGGATGCCACTCGAATGACAGTTCTAGTGGCATTTTTGCAATTTTCTAGTGGCAATTTTGCAATAACGATTCAAAGTAGTGGTAAATTTGCAATTGCCCCTTTAAGGTTCAAACATAGGCGAGCAGTCTAAATGGTTAGAACTTACAATATTTCACATAGCAATAGAGGAACATAGAACATTGTTCATCTCTTTTTGTTTAATATCGTAGTTTGTTTTTCTTAGCAGAGCGTGGTTGATTGATTGGACAAATTAGATGGGCACATTCTGCTGATATCTTGCATGTTAAGTTGTTATTCGTTGCTTTTGTTTGAATATTTGACATCCATCACAATACGTAGTTTAACATTGGCTTGTGGCTAACTGGCTACTTGAATACATATATGTGTATGAGCATATTTTGATGCACTCTTCTGCACTTTTTTCACTTTGATACACCTTCCAACAGAATGAAGCTAATTCAATATCATAAGTCTTCTGTGAAACTTAAAATAATGTGTGATTGAAGTCTTTGCCCTGTCTAATCATTGCTTTTCATTAATATGTTATAATATGAAAATTTCAGCTTCTGATAGAGAGTTAGAGACACAGTCAGCATGATGTATTGCTAAAATCCTCCATTTTTTAGCGGCTTCAACTCCTTGGGTTTATGTTTGGATTTCATTTATATTTTTGTCTGTGTTATCTTCTAATCATTAGTTTTAGTTGTCCATTAGATTTTTTCTTTGGTTCCTCAAATTAAAATAGGCCAATTTGCCTGGTACCATCGCAAAAATCATGGAACTGGAAAATACTAATGTATCTGTCATTGATGTGGGTCCAGGACCCACATGCCATTCTCAGATACGCTCGTATTTTGCAACTCACATATCTCAACTATAGTATTTTCCGATTTTTTTTATTGAAATAGGTCTCGTGTCTATGTGGAGTGTATCAGTCTTTGGGAGTAACTTATCTTTCTCTTGTATAGGTTGTGGCAGTTCCAGAGGACATTGGAACAGCTGGTGCACTACGAGCTATTTCAAAGCGACTGACTGCAAATGATGTTTTGGTAATGTTAATGCTTTTATAGAACCTTAAGAATGCTAAAATATGCATGCTAAGTGTAATGTAGATATTAATGTATTAGAACCTTGTTACAATAGGTGATTAGCGGCGACCTAGTAACTGATGTACTTCCTGGGGCTGTTGCTGCTACTCATAGAAGAAATGGTGCCGCTGTTACTGCTTTACTATGTTCTGTTCCTATCAGTGGTCCTTCAGATGCTGCTTCTTCTGGAGGGAAAGATAAAGCTAAAAAACCAACTCGACTGAATATAGTTGGGCTAGACATAACAAGGCAATTCTTGTTGCATATTGTATCAGGTTTGTATGTCTTGTTAAAAAGGTTTTAAAGTTGATTAGTAGCTGTTATTCATGAATCATGATTCATATGCTTGTCGATTCCGACTGGCAGGAACCGATGTTGAAAAAGATGTACGTGTTTACAAGCGAAAAATCCGAGCTGTAGGCGAGGTACGGAACGTGTAACCCTGTATATGAAATGATTTTGTTTGCTAACAGAAATATATATTGGCTGTGCTGCACTTGTTATGTGCCATAACACATGACATGTCACAAAAATATCTGGTAAAAAAATATGTTGAGTGTGATAGAGATTTCAAAACTTAATTTTAGTTTTTGAGAAGAGCTCAAGACATATCTCTATTCTTTTGGTTCTTGGTAGGCACAATAAAGTTTCTTTGTAATGGGTTCAAGGCAATCAAACTTTACTGAGACAGGCAGTCAGGCACTGTATAACAGGCTTCACCATATAATATATCCTGCATTATTAGTATTAGCAAATTCTTTTATATGGCAGCAGGGAAGGAATAGTCAGAAAGCGCGCTTTCTGGTCGAGCAGGCTTGATCTGCATGGCGAGAGGCTTCTGTTATTACTGCTTGGTGACAATAAAGAAACATAGAGCACTGAGGGCATATTATTTTAAATAGAAGCGCCATGAGAGGGGTCCCATTTAAAGTTTAAAACTCCTGTTTGAATAACATCCAGAAAAAGCAGGACTCAAGAACAAGGCTAAAGCTTCATATGCTCCTTTTCCCTATAGGATTTAAAGTTCTCCATTTCTCCTTTGGTTCAAAAAGGGCTTCATGATTTTTATTGTGGATACGTGTGCATTCTAAGGATTCTTGCTTTGGGATTTCATATAAATCTTAACTTGTCGCTATTTCCCCCAAAAGATTACCTCATCCAAACACATTGTTAAGGGTAGTGCACTGACTGACTGGAGCAGTACATCTAATAAGTGGGACCTGACAAAGGAGGGAAAACTTTTTAGAGATATTAGCTGAGTACTTCAGAGTTCCTTTTAAGGATAGTCATTTTTGTCTATGTATTCTTGCATTAATTTAGTTGGAAATTCAGAATTGTCTGAGCATGACTTGTGATGACCATGAATGATTGACAGGGCAAGTGACTGTGTGGACAATAGTTTTATTTTCACTGGAATGTAGTGTCACGTTTCGAATTTGACTCTATCATCCTATTCTATAACTTGAATGCGGGAGACTCGAATGTATTCAGTTAGAGTTTTCTATTGTATTGTAATCTTAACTAACCATCTTCCTCTTGCTAGATGGAAATTCGAAGTGATCTGATGGATGCACATCTGTATGCTTTTAAGAGGTAGTTGAGTTGTTCTATTTCCCTTTAGTTTTGTGTGGGCAAATGTCCCAATGCCCAATCCAGTAATATCTTGCTGTCTGTTGGTCACAGGACAACATTACAGAATATACTGGAAGAGAAAGAATCATACCGTAGCATTAGACTTGAAGTCCTACCATACTTAGTGAGGAGTCAGTTGGTATGTTCGTACTCAATTTCTTGTTGTTTGATGGTCTCTTAACTCTATTTCTAAGCACTTCATAATTTTGGTCAAATTTGTGTAGAAATCATCTTCATCAGGAGGTGAGGGAACAACCGTTGATGAAACTGGCGATACTACAGTTCCATCCAATAGTCATTTGCAGTGTCTATCACAGCATCGCATACTTGCACCATCTGCTTTTAAGAAAGATTTGTTATCATCTGGAGGAACATATAGGTGCTGTGTCTATATTGCTACTAAAAGCAAGTACTGTCATCGTTTGAACTCCATTCAGGCATACTGTGATATCAACCGAGATGTAAATTTCTCATCCTGTAGTAAATGCCAATTTTTTTTGTTGCAATATTGCTGTTCTTACTTGAATGCTAACCATAATTTAACAGGTTGTAGGGGATGCTAGTCACTTGTCCGGTTATTCCTTCTCTGCACAGAACAACATCATCCATCCAACTTCTGTGCTTGGATCGAAGACTACAGTAAGTCTGATTTCATAGCTATTTTAGTTTTAGAACCATGAAATGGTTGCTGAAATACATAAAAAATAAAAGTTAAATATAGAATGCGAACATTCTTTATTCAATCAAGTCTTGTATGTGCAAATTTACATGTGTTGGATTGAAGATGATAATGTTCTCTCTGCTGACAAAAAGTGACTAGTGTTCCATTTTAACATGGCCTCTAAAATGATTGGATCTTTGTACATAGATACTAGGACTAGCAATAATATTGTATGACTTTAGATAAGTACTAGAGAGGGAAGCGTAAATCTATCAGTGCTGGCACTTTTCACTGTTACAACTCAAGTAGAATACTACCTTCATGCTTCATAAATACTGCATGGGATCTTTGTTATTTTTTATTTCATTTGAACTCATTCTTCCAAAGTATTTTCCTTACAAAACCAGATTCTTTAATTCAATTTTTCTTTGATGAGAAGTTCAGTATGTTTGTCTGATCCTGGTTGCTGGAATGATGAATCTTCTTTTGTAGTGTTGGCATTGAGGACCCTATGTTTTAATTTTTTTTGTTAGATTAATGAAAAATAGCAATTCTCTCTATTCTGTTGTGTCAAAACTTCTTAAATGACGAGCTTCTATTTTGGCCTATTTTCCTTGTAATATTTGATTATTTATAGATCGGACCACAATGCATGCTTGCTGAGGGTTCACAATTAGGTGACAAATGTAGTGTGAAGCGATCTGTTATTGGCCGTCATTGTCGAATTGGTTCAAATGTAAAGGTAATAATACTATTACTTTGTTGTTTCATGCCAATTTATTACAAATTCCTTTGTTCTACTTGATAGTATCATTTGATAGCTAGTAATCAGTATATGCTACCTTGCCACTGTTTTTATATCATAGTTTCAATGCAGTAGGTCATTTGGTGGAATACTACAACTAATTACTTCTGATTGGAGATAAAAGTTTCTTTGTTGATCTGAACATTTAATTATTATATTCCTTTGTTTTAGATTGTCAATTCTGTCGTGATGAACCATGTGGTTATTGAAGATGGTTGTCACATACAAGGTTCTGTGATATGCAATAATGTGCAACTTCAAGAACGTGCTGTTTTGAAAGATTGTCAGGTACCTATTTTTTTCCCTCTTTGTGCACCAATTTTACTTAAACTTAGAAGTGATTAAAACTTTAGAGGGGAAATGTTTTATTCATGTCAAGCGGTGAAGGTACAGTTGATGATATTGCTTTTCACCCTTGTATATATAAAATAAAAATGAATAATTTTATATTTAGCCCTGTTATAGAGACGCCACATTGAAATTGTCTTTATAACCTTTTATATGTTGAAATGATTTCAGGTTGGTGCTGGTTATATTGTAACTGCTAGCAGTGAACACAAAGCAGAATCTCTCAGCAAGAAAGTAGAGCGATTTTGATAGTGTGGTTGACCTTGAACAATTTTGTTTGCTAAGTCAGATACAGCCGTACAAGGAGTTAAGAAGGGAGGGGGTAACATGTATTTCGAAAAAATGATTTCACCGTGATACCCCAAAAAATAGTGTGCTCTTGTCTATTCTAACAGATTGAGCTTGGACTTGACAGTTGAAGCGCTTCTAGCGAGATTGATCCATGATATTATGAGTAAACTATGTGTATCCGTTTGTTGGCCCTGTTCCTGTTATTGATTTGTAATTTTCTTGTCAATTTGGGTGGTACAGTAATTCATTTGGTACACCAAGGTGGTTCTTGTCGCTATTTTGTAATACATTATGTTAGCTTTGGGCGGCTTACTCCCTCCATTCCACAATATTACAACCTAGTAACGGATGAGATATTCTATTTGTTTAGATTTATTGTATTATGAAATGTCTTATCCGGTAGGACAGAGGGAGTAACTGCTACTGTAGCGATAGAGCCTGCTTCTAGGCGCACAGGCCTGCTAATGGACCGGTGCGTCCTATGGTGTACCTAGGCAGATTAGCACCACCGCCGAAACAATCGCTTGCCCTCTCATCGTGAAAGCCCAAGCTAGCCAGGGAGGAATAGATATCGTTGCCTACGCCGATTCTCCTTCATTATGCTCCGCTCTGTTAGCCGTCACCCACCGCGGAGAAGATGCCACCATATGCGCTGATTCCCCTATGCCGGATCAAGTGAAAGGGTATCATTGTTGGTTTAGGGTTCAGGGGTGCCACCGCTTTGTGGCCAACCTTCCATTTCACTGGAGCGCCACTACCGGATCAAGCGAAGCCTCGACAAGGCATACCCTGTGTAGCGCCTGCAGCCAAGATGGATGCGGCAAGTGACAACGGGATGACATGAAAACACTAAGAGGTGGCTCAAACAGGGGAAGGGCACATCTATAAGGCGTACTCGAGTTGGGAAGATGTATTCGGGAAAGAGAGACAAGCTGATTGTGTTCTCGCTGGAGTGGGGCCCAAAGGGTGGTTCCGTGTGTTGCTAGTATATTAAGACACAACCTGTAATCGAATGGGATATGAAAAATGAAATGAAAATACTGTCTACTCTGCTTTTCCCTGATTTCTTCATAAATCTTCCCCGTCTTCAACGTCATGTCACTCTTAGTTCGTTCGTCAGGTTACGTAAACCGGTTTCAAGCGGGTAACATATGCATATGCTCCAAAAGAAATAAACATCTGATTTTAAACATTTGACATATACATATTTAGAAGAAAAATGAATTTGTAGTATATCAATGACGTTTTAAGATCCATTGGGATATATGCAGTACAGTCATTTAAATTGGGAACTTAGCCTACAAGCAAACCAATCTGAAATTCGTTCCCATGAAGACTTTCAGAATCTTAGGGTGCTACTTAGGTCACTGCAACTAATAGGTTACACACCCTTTCACAGGGGGCTATGATATGTGAGTAACCTGAGTCATGGTTTCATTGCCACACGTCAAATACTCAAATGTTTGAATTAGGTAGATGCAACTTAACCGCATGAGTTCAGGTCAAAAAGTGTGAAAATAGTCTATGCTTCTTATCTTATGAAAATAGTTTCTAGCTACTTCCTTGAATTTCTGATTGTAAACCTTGGCACCTTGTTTAGATTCATACCCTTGAAATTGCTTTAGTTTCACTATAGACATCTGTTTATAGTGACAAGACTATTTTACTTTATGGAAGCTATTTTGAACCAATAGGGACCAAAACAATATTAATATTCCATGTTTACAATTTCGCAGGAATCAACAAAAAAATTCCTGATCCACATAGTCTCCATTTTTCTGGCTGAAGAGAGATAATATTTTCGGAACGACTCATGTTTTGCTGTTGCCTACTTCACTCTAGTTACTCAAGGTATTAAAGTGATCTAAAGATGCTGTCAAATTAGAGAAGGGTAATGCTTTACTAAATATTTTGGTGGGTATAGCGTTAGGACGGCATATTACATATCAATGCTTCTTGATTTAAATCAATTCCACACATTGAAGGTCAAATCATTTTCAGCAATTTTTTTCTATGTTTCCTTCAATGAGTGGTGTTCTACCTACCTTTTACTCTATGTTTTTTCCTCTCAAAATTTATCCTGTTGCCTCACATATTCATGTGTTTACAAGGGATTGAGCTAGCCAGTATTACATAGATACTAGAAAATGAGCGCTCCTTGTGGTGCACCAAAAAATTTATAGCCCGTGAATATTGTTTAATTGCTCTAAAATATATAAATGTATTATGTTTTGTTTTTTTAACATTTTTCTTAAAAAAATATCCTACATTCAACAAAACCCTTAAATTGATTTTTAATTCTGTTTTTGAATGGTTTGGCACAAATCAAATAGGATAGTACTATAGTATATGTGGCATTTTTTTAAACCAGCACTTTTAAAATAAATAGGTGCCGATTTCAATTAAACTGGTAACTATGAACCGTCACCAATAAGAGATTTTGTAGTAGTATATGTTGATTGGTGGACAATCTAATTTTAATAATTGACATTTATATAGCCTCAGAAAACATCCTTCCAGCAATATGATTATTATAAAAAAAATTATAAAATGTGATTTCCAAAAAGACAGCATATAACTTTAGTAAAAGGAAAGTTTGTGTGTAAGCATTTAGAATTCATGGTAAAATATATGTTAACAACCTTCCTATTTTATGCGTAAAATATTAGGTTTATCAATGTACTTATTCTTTGAGGTGGTAAAGTATAAAAAAAAATAAGGCAGCTTAAATATAGCAAATAGTCAAATAAATCTGGAAATATGTATCTAGCACTGATGACAAGGCTTTCGAATTAGCGGGATTTATGGAATCTGCCAGTTTACATGAAATTCAGAAAAATCTCTTCTAGGCACAGTAGTGTGCAGTTTTAATTAAAATAAAATTTAGAACATTTCAACTTGGAAGATATGTTTGTCACTAAAAAAAATTTGAGACTGGTTTCTGTGCCAAGAAAATATGGAGGTGTAGTTTGGCACAATGATTAGTTGTGGTGGAACCTGTTGGAATAAATGGGCTAGGCCCAATTTAATTCAATTAAAATTTCAAGAGCCCACAAGTAATGTTAGAGATAATAATACTGCCTTGAAAATTTAGGTGGAAGAACCTCAACTTAAACATGGTGATATTGGAGATTTTCCGTTGACCGGTTGAGGTGATGGTTGGACAGCCACACGCACGTGCGCGCGCTGAGTCGGCCTCGGCCGTGGGTGTGCCGATGCAAAGTGGCCAATCGAGCCGAGCCTGCCTGCTGCTCTTCCGTTTTGTAACAGATGAGAATAAAGTTGCCATTAATAAAGGAAATTCATTGTGTTGTAACCTCCACAACAAATGAGAGATTCATTGTGTTGTAACCTCCACAACAAATGAGAGATTCACTGTGTTGTAACCTTCACAACAAATAATATTTATTTTGTGGTTGTCGACGAGGGATACCCTTGGACCGGATATGGAGGGTATTGGGGTACGCTGGTACGAGGATCTACGTAATAGAACATCAAGCAAACAGAAGACAAAGATTATACTGGTTCAAGCCCCTTCGTAGGTAATAGCCCTAATCCAGTTGGTATGGGATTATATGATGGAAGTCACAGATTACAAAGGGAATAAAGGAACTCGATGGTATCGACGAGATCGTAGTCGAGTTGGTTCGACTAGATCACCCGGCGACTTGGCTCCTGTAGGTTCCGGCTTCGTAGGCTGTGGCAGATGTGTTGGTGGTGAGATTCGATGCCTTAGGTCCTCCCAGGGGGTCCCTTTTATACCGCGGGTCAGTCAATCTCCAAGTAGAACTCGGAGATATCGGACCCCACACGATATAGTAACGACCCAGTTCTGTCCGAGCATGACTCCTTCCATCTGTGGACTCCGTTTCTGTTACGTGATGGATTTCCTTAACATGTATAGGAAACATCCATATACGCGCAGGTATACCGTATCAGTATACAACATACGTCCAAGGGTAGAGGGTATACCTCATTCATAACCCTGACAGTGGTAACCTTCACAACAAATGAGATTTTTTTTGTGTGGTAATGGAGATCTCTCTCTATATATATAACGCAAGGCAGAGGCTCTCAAAGATCGAGTCTTCCTCCTGTTGTTGTTCCTTGGCGATACTCTCCTTCTGTTTTTGCGTTGTCTCTCTGTTTCTCCGGTTCTGTTCATCTCGTGTGCACGGGTGATCGGAACAAGCAAGTGCCTCCGAAACTCTGTCCGCTTGAGAACCTACACGGGTAGGCGGACGATCAAGTTTTTGGGTAGCTCTGCATCATCTTCACCAACATGTCGACAACTGGTGACAACAGCAACACTAGATACAAAGAGAAGGAGCCTCCCGTCAACATCAACGGAGGCAATACTGCCTCAAACTCCAGCGGAGAACTATTCTCGGGGGTATAACGTTTCACTGTTACTATTCGTTCTTTGTTTCCTACAACTGTCAGTCACAATATTATTGCGTTGTATTGTCTATATTGATGCTTATTCTATATTAAGTATGCTCATGTTGATTACATTTACCACTATCACTGGATCAATTCCCATTGCGAATATCATGCTTATTATCTTGTTATTTTAGATTAAAATATACCGAATTATGATCAAATTTCCAATAGGAACCAATCAAGAACTCCAATCTCCAAGGTCCTTTACGTTATGCGACTACACGAGTCTTGAATTCCAACAGGCAACATAAGGGTACTTTCATGATTTTTTAATTTATTTTTTTTTGGATCAAAGTATAAAATTATTTGTATGTATTAAAATGCAAAAAGTGCCTTGAGAATGGACTGGTGGTTGGTGAAGTCGCTAGCAACGGTCAGGTCGCCTCTGATCCATCTGCTTTCAATCCTGGATCGACGTTTCGAGATTTTCCTTTTCAGTTTTTTTTTATCTCGCGTCGGTTCGGATTTATCAGTGACATCACGTACGCCACATGGTCCAGTCAAGCGCGGAAACTCTAATGGGCGAACAATCACCCTGGCTATTGGCTAGCGATCACCCCATTCCCCCCTCCCTCCCTCTACCTGTTTTTTTTTTCACCGTATTACTTTCCTATTTTTAGTAAATTTATGCACCTAAAATTTATACACCTCAAGTTTACATATCTAAAGTTTAGAGACCAAAAGTTTATATATCCGATTCAAATTTGAATTTGAATTCAAATATTTTTTATATATATAGTATTTCTATACATCTAAAGTTTATACAACTAAAGTTTATAGACCTAAAAGTTTATAGACCTAAAGTTTATATACCCGTTTCAAATTTGAATTTGAATTATATCTGATTCAAATTGAATTTGAATTCAAATATTTTCTATATCAAGTATTTCTATACATCTAAAGTTTATACATCTAAAGTTTATAGA